GTAAAATTAAATTAGGTTGCATTGTGATAAGGTTAGGGGTTAGGTACATTAAGGTTGTTTATTAAGGTTTAAAAAATTACATTAATTTCTTTTTTTGATTTTCAAAGGAAATGTTAATAACATTTAATTTATTGTTTATTTTTTTGTTAAAAAATTATTATTATTATTATTATTATTATTAATCTCGATTATATATCAATGATAAAAAAATTGCATTAATTAAAATAGGTTAATAGGTTATTGACTTAATAAGTTAACGGAAAAAAGAAAATTTTTATTTACAATTCGATTGATTTTTTTTTACCTCAAAGGAAAATATTTTTCCCGTATGTGTGTGTGTGTGTATGTGATTTATAACTTCCGGTTATTACGAAAGTATTTCCTTTTTTTTTTTTTTTTAAAAAAATGGAAAAATCGGAAAATTTTTATTTTATTGTATTTTTGTTTTCAGTCTTTCTATCTTATCATTTATTGTTTTTTTTTTTTTTTTTTGCTGTTTTCCGTTTTCCAATTTTATCACGGGTTTCAATCCTTGAAAAACAACAACAATAACGACGACGACGACAAAATAATAATAATAATAATAATAATAATAATAATAATATTAATAATGATTTCTTCTTGTTATTTTTTAAATTTGTGTGTAAAATGGTAGTCAGGTGTCTTTTTTTTTTTTTTATTTAAATAATTTAAAAATTAATTGTCATTTCCCTTTTTTTTTCTCACCATTTTGTTTGTTCATTGTTGTTGTTGTGGTTGTTGTTGTTCTTTTTACTTGAATAATAATTTAAAAAAAAAAAATTTAAATTTTATTTATAAAGAAAATAAAAAAAATGGCAGAATGCCATAGATTTTCCATTTTAACCATATGAAAATAAATCGAAGGAAAGGTCGTGTAAATAAAATTTTCTAAAATTAATTTTTTTATTATTTAGAAAAAAAAAAAAAACCGGAAAACGTTTAATATTATTATTATTTATTTATTTCCGGTTATTATTTCAAAAAACGAGGTAATTTAATTTTTTTTTATATAGTTGCAGCAGTGGTATGTCTGTATATATATGTAAAATTTAATTATGTATTCTTGTTTTGTTGTTGTTGTTGTCGTTTTAGTATCGCATAATAATAATAATAAAATACGGAAGAAAACCTGAAATATCGGAGATGCTTAACACACACACACACAAACCAAGGACGGGGAAAAATAAATAAAAAACCGACATCATCATGTAGGTCACAAACGTTTAAAAAAAAAAAATTGTTTTTTATTTTCATACAAACGTCACCATTTTGTTTGTTAATTGTTCTTTTTTTTTTTCTTACGACACGTCAAAAAAAAAAAACGTTAATTGATTTTTACCATTTCGATCCGTAATAATAATTGCAAAAAAAAAAAAGACAAAGTTATCATTATTATTATTATTAGTATCGAAAAATAAATATTAATAATAATTATTGATTTTTGTAAACTTGAAACGACCATTTTTGTAATAACAGCAGAACAACAACAACAAACTACGACAATATATATTATTATTATTATTTTTTATTAATAATTTTTACAACGACAACGATGGAAAATTGCGTGATTAAATAAGATTTATTATTATTATTATTATTATTATTATTAAATGTCGTATTCTGTAAAAAAAAACTTGATGGGATTCACGTTTCCTTTACCTTATCAATGATAAAGTAAAAAAAAAAAAAAAACATGTACGCCCACTCTCGCGATTTAAATTTTTTATTTAATCACGATTATTTTCCTATTAAATAATTATTATTATTATTATTATTAAAGAAACAACCGAATTTTTTTTTTTTTTTTAAAACGATAAATTTTCATTTGATGTTGTACGACGTGGAAATCGAAAATAATAAAAAAACAAGTTTGACGATAATGATGATAATAATAAAGAAAAATTAATTTATGACGTCATAACGAATAAAAGTTTTTCCCTTTTGTTAACGATTATAATTATCATTATTATTATTATTGTTTTTTATTACGAAAAAAAAAAAAATGTTTCGTTAAACGTTTTTTTAACTTGTCGAATTGTTAAATATTTAACGATTTGGCCTTATTTAAATGTTTATTTAAAAATAAGAGGAAGGAAAAAAAGAAAAAAGTGGCACAAGAACAAATTAACCCGCTCAAATTTTTCGTTTCGTTTGTTTAAAAAGGATAATAAAAAAGTCAAAAATGATGATGGCGACGATAATTAAAACCTTTTATTTAAATTATTATTATTATTATTGTGTTTTGTTGTCGTGGTTGTTGTTGTTTGTAATTTTTTTTTTTTTTTTTTTTAGAAGTCAAGGGGATATTTGTGTAGTGGAGTCGAAAATCCCTCTCGTGGAAAATGGGCTCGCGGCAAAACCCATCAAACAAGATGCAAGCGTGGGTTTCTTATCGAAATCCGAAAGGGGATCTGCTTTTCGACAAGTTTTTGCCGCATTCGCAGCAAATATAGGTACGGTAAATACAGGTTTGGTGTTTGGTTTTAGTGCTGTCGTTTTACCACAGCTTCAAAGTTCCAACAGCACGATTCCGATTAACGAAGAACAAGCATCTTGGGTCGGTGAGTGTAAATACAAATCTTAACGAATTTTCCGTTACGTGGATTTCGAATTTAATTTTTTCTTTTGTTTCCAGCGAGTTTGTCCTCCATATCGACACCGATCGGATGCATATTAGGCGGGTATTTAATGGATTTAATTGGGAGAAGAATGACGTTGATAGTAACCGAATTTCCATTGATAATCGGTTGGTTGCTTATTTTTTCAGCAAATTCCGTTTACATGATTTACGGTGAGTTTTCTTGAATTTTCATTTTGATTTTTCACAAGGAAGAAAAAAATTAATCGGGGATTTTTTTTTTTTTTTTAGGTGGAAGGTTACTCGTTGGTTTTGGTTCTGGAATGGTCGGAGCACCAGCTAGAGTATACACAGGGGAAGTAACACAACCACATTTGAGAGGAATGCTTTTAGCATTGAGTTCCGTTGGGGTTTCCATGGGGGTTCTTATAGAATATTTATTAGGTGTGATAGAAAAAAAAAAAATTCCACAAAAACGATTTCGGGGAGGGGGGGGGGGATTTTATTGATGCTTTTTTTATTTGTGTTTTAGGAGCACTTTTTAACGTGGCACATATTAGCCGGAATAAGTGCATGCGTACCAGTTTTAGCTCTCGTTTTATTGTTTTTCTTACCGGAAACTCCAAATTATTTAGTTTCGCAAAATAAAACGGAAGATTCGAGGAAAGCATTGATTAAATTAAGGGGATCCACGTGTAACGTCGATGCCGAATTAAAAATTTTGACTGATTTTTCAAAAAAAAATAACGTTAAAAAAATTAAAGGTTTTAAAGGTTAGCAATTACGTTTCCGTTTCCGTTTCCCTCCCCCCCTTTTTTTTTTTTTATATTCGAAGCAATAATTTTTCTCCCCCCCTCCCCTTCCTCTTTATTTTTTAGAAACAATAAGAGCTTTAACGAGTCCGACAGCATTAAAACCGTTCGCCATATTGGTTACTTATTTTATGTTTTATCAATTCTCAGGGGTTAACACGATAACATTTTATGCCGTCGAAGTCTTTCAGGTACAAATTTTTTTTATTTATAATTTAAATTTTAATTGAAAATAAAATTTAATTTAAATTTAATTTAAATTTTTTTTTTTTTTTTAACAGCAATCAGGTGCTCAAGTAAATAAGTATTTAGCTACTGTGATATTAGGATTAGTAAGAGTTATTTTTACTGTTGTCGCATGTATTTCATTAAGAAAATGTGGGAGACGACCGTTAACGATGATCTCTGGTAAGATTCCTTTTGAGAGAGAGAGAGAGAGAGAGAGATTTGAACCTGATAATTTAAATTGTTTTTTCTTTTTCAGGAGTGGGCTGTAGTTTAACAATGTTCGGTTTAGGCACTTATATGTATTATTTAAATAATTGCGAATTAGCCGGTGAAACGCCTCAGAATACCTGGATACCTGTCGCATGCATTTTCCTATTTGCAATTGCATGCACTCTTGGTTTTTTAGTCGTTCCATGGGTCATGATCGGAGAATTATTTCCCATTCAAGTAAAAAATAATTTTTTTTTTGATTATCACACGCACCTCCTCCTCCCCCTTCGTGGGGGGTGTGTTCTTCGTTTACAGATGGTTAATATAGTAAAATAAATATTTTTAGGTGAGGGGAATTTTTGGTGGTATGACAACGTGTTGTGCACATTTATTCGTTTTTATCGTCGTTAAAACTTATCCATTTCTTTATCATTTAATCGATCGTTTCGGTTGTTTTTGGCTTTACGGTTCCGTTAGTCTCGTTGGTGAGTTGTGGTTGTTGTTGTTGTTTGTAAGTACAACGAATTTAGAATATTATGATCAAAAAAATCTTTTTTTTTAGGTTGCATATTTTTTTATTTTTGCGTACCTGAAACAAAAGGTAAAACACTACAGGAAATAGAAGATCATTTTGCAGGAAGAGGAAATGCATTATCTAGGAAACGTGAAAGCGTTAATCAATCTTTAATATGATAATAAATTTTTTTTCAAAAATTATTACTGTTGATGTGAAATTAATTACAACGAAACAAACGAAATAAACAAACAAACAAACAATTTTTTTCTATACTTTTAATTTAATTAAAATATTATTATTATTATTATTATTTTTTATTTAAATAATTTTTTTCTTTTTTTTTTTTTTTTTACATTCCTTTTATTTAAATCAGTAAGAAATGAATTTATCGTGCCTTTTTACATAACAATAATAATAATAATAATATTTTGAAATTATTGTTGATGATAACATGTTAATAACGTTTGTATAAGTTTATTAATAATTTAATATAGAATTTTTAAATAAATAAAATAAATTATTTTAAATTTTAATCATTATTTTATTATTTTAAAAAATTTTTCCTAATAAAAAAAAATTGATTTACGTGGTGCAGGTGGAAAAAAATTTTATAAAATGGCCGCGATATGAACGTGGGATTGGAATCGAATAAAAAAAATAAAAATTAAATAAGTTAGTGAAATAAAATTAATGGTTTATTCATAGTTTTATTTAAAGATATGAAGTAATGTTGTAAGAGAGAGAGGAAAAAAAAGGAAATAACGGTTTTTTTTTTTTTTTTATACGTTTTCCTGCATGACTGAGTTTTTTTTTGTCGTAGTTTAATAATAATGACTATACCGCATCATTATTTTGTTGTCTTCGTCCACGTCTTAGAAGGCTGTGATTTTAGTTTTACTTCACTCTTGGTTAAATTGAGTTTTTAACGTAATGTTATATGTATCAGGTTTTTGTAAAATAATATAATAATGATTTTACAAAAATTAATAATTAATTGGTCGGAATTAATCGGTTGTTCCGATGCAGCTTTAACGTTATTAATATCACTTTTATTAGGTGAGTTATCTACAAATAACATAAATTTAAATTTATAAACAAGTGTTTAAAGTTAAAAATATTTATTTTCGTCACTTGAAAAATCAAAAAAAAAAAAAAAATAATAATGATGAAAAAATTTTTAATGAAATAACAATTAACGAATACAAAATGTATGGGTCAAAGGTCAATTCTCTCGTTTCAATTATTTATTATTTATTTATTTATTTTTATTTTACTATTCACGTACACATACGTACTTTTCATCATTTGATAATTTATTTTTTAAATTATTTATTAAAAAATAATTTTTTTTTATTTTTAAAATGCTTATTTTATCATGAAATTATTTATAATAATAATAATAATGTAAAAATTTTAATTTAAATTTAATTGAATTTTTTCTAGATTTCAAACAAAAATTTAAAAAACTTGTTCATGTTTATATATTGCATCATCTTTAACGTTTTTTTCATCAGTAAAATCTTTTATCATATCTAGAAAATTATTTTCTTCCATTTTAATCGAAATAAGTTTTTTTTTATTTAACAGGTTATCCTATTGCTTTTATTCATAGAAAATGTTTATTTGGGGCATCACCTAATATACAACACATATATTTTATAACATGTGGAATTATTCTTTGTTGTTTTAATTATGGTAAGTATAAAAAAAAAAGAAAATGAATGAACTGTATTTAAATATTTTTATGATAATTATTTACATTTAATAAATTCACTTGGGTTGACATTTTAGGTTTTGATGTGATACATTCTCTTGCATCGATAACGATTACTTATCTCGTATTAAAAATATTTAAAGGAGGCCTTACTTCTTTATTAATTGTATTCATATATACAATGTTACATTTGACTGTGGGATATTGGGCTACAGCCACATCAACATATGATATTAAATGGACAATGCCACAATGTGTTTTAACATTAAGACTTATAGGATTGGCATTTAATGTTTACGATGGAAGCCAACCTCAAGTCGGTTTGACGAAAACATTTTTTTTTTTTTTTTTTTTCTGTACACGGAAGAAAAAATTTTTTTTAATTTAACATTTTATTTAACTTTTAGGAAAGTTTGTCAGAAGAGAATCGAAAGGTTGCATTACAGACAGTTCCAAGCATTTTGGAAGTATTTGCTCATTCATATTTTCCTGCCAGTTTTTTAGTAGGACCTCAATTTTCATTTAAACGTTATAAAGATTTTGTCGAATTAAAATTAGAAGAAAAGGTATTCAGGTTTTAATTTTATTACATTATCAGTTATTTAAGTTTTTCAGTTGCCATTTTGAATTTTTCCATCTTTTTTTTTCCCCAAATGAATGATATGAACCTGACATTTTATTCGGCCATTTATTCAATGGCTCACAGTTTTACTCGAATCGATTTAAAATCATCTTTTGAAATTCTTATAAAATTTTTTACCTTTTTTTTTTTTTTATTAAATCTGACATATTGATTTCAAATCATTTTAAGTAAAAATGAAAGTGATTTTTTTATTTTTTTTATTTTTTTTTTTTTTCAGGACAATCCAAAGGAACTTCCCCGTTCTTTGGGAGAAAGTAGGAAAAGTTTATTTTTGGGTCTCACATATTTAATTATGTATCAAATAGGTTCACTTTACATACCAGACAGTTATTTTACATCAGAAGAATATTTTTATTTAAATATATTTAAAAAAATATTTTTTCTCGGTCTTTGGGGCCGTTTCACATTATATAAATATATTTCATGTTGGTTAATCACAGAAGGAAGTTGTATAATGATGGGTTGGTACATTTATTAAAATTTATTCCACCCAAAATTAAAACAATCACTTTATTAATGTCGCCATTGTTTAAAAACAAAAAAAAATTATTTTTTTTTTAATTTCGTTTTTATCGCAAAAAAAAAATTGATTAGAATGAAAAATAAAAATCGTTTATCCGTTCAATGACTTTTCGACCGTTAATTTTTTTTTTTTTGTGTTTTATTCAAGGTCTTACATACAACGGTCTCGATGAAAAAGAAAAACCTAAATGGGACGGTTGTTCAAATGTTAAATTAAAAGTTTTTGAAACAAGTACAAAAATGAATCATTATATAGAATCATTTAACATAAATACAAATCAATGGATTGCTCAGTTAGTATTCAAATGATTAATGATTTTAAAAATTATTTTAATGAAGGATGAGTAATTTGTTTTATCTTTTTCCACCAGGTACATTTACAAAAGACTTAAATTTTTAAAAAATAAAAATTTATCTTATTTAGGAGCACTAGTTTTTCTCGCCATTTGGCACGGATTACATTCGGGTTATTATGCGACGTTTCTTTTTGAATTTTTAGTTATAACAAGTGAAAAACACGTGAGTAC